TGTGCCTAGTCCCGCCTGATATCAGTCCACTTCCTGTGCCTAGACACTCCTGATATCAATGTACTTCCTGTGCCTAGACACTCCTGATATCAATGTACTTCCTGTGCCTAGGCACTCCTGATATCAATGTACTTCCTGTGCCTAGGCACTCCTGATATCAGTCCACTTCCTGTGCCTAGACACTCCTGATATCAGTGCACTTCCTGTGCCTAGGTACTCCTGATATCAGTGCACTTCCTGTGCCTAGGCACTCCTGATATCAATGTACTTCCTGTGCCTAGGCACTCCTGATATCAATGTACTTCCTGTGCCTAGGCACTCCTGATATCAATGTACTTCCTGTGCCTAGACACTCCTGATATCAATGTACTTCCTGTGCCTAGACACTCCTGATATCAATGTACTTCCTGTGCCCAGGCACTCCTGATATCAGTGCACTTCCTGTGCCCAGGCACTCCTGATATCAGTCCACTTCCTGTGCCCAGGCACTGCTGTCCTGTAGCCTCTGAGAACTGGCCTTGTGTGATGATGTCACTGCTGTGCTGCTCCCTGTTCTCATTGCTGGAGAGGAAGTTGTACCTGAGGACTGGCAGTGCAAGGATCTCCCTGCTTCTCTTTCATCCGTCCCGGTGTCTGCACTTCCTCCTCCTCTATCATGACCCCGCCAATCATCAGATGGGGAGCTCTGACATGAGGAAGCAAAGCCCCGCGCCTCGACAAAGATGGCCGCCTCCACACAGAGACCCCGTGCAGTACAAGGCATGTGATGGGGAAGACCGCGGTCCATAGCGGTGACAGGTCCTCTTTGTATCTTTTGTTGACGTCTTTACATCGCGCCGGAATCAATAACCAATGTGCCATCGATAAACGCGTCCGGTGATCACGTGATCCTAAGAGCCGGGAGCGGCGCAGAGCGTGTCCTGCCTGACCCAGCCGGGGACCCGCGGCAGAGACCAGACACCCCGCCGGTGTCCCCCGTCCGGCAGCCTGCGCTGGGGACGTCGCAGACACACACACAGCGCTGACGGATGAGCGCGCCTGGCGGTCTCTGGTCCTCGTCTCCCGCTCTGCGTACACGTCACCCCCCCCGGGATCCGCGTGCCAGAGACACTTCATCCTGGATGTCATTCCTCCATAAACCGGCTGCCTCCCCCGCTAACATTATCCATTCACCAAACGCTGCGTCACGCCTGCTGCGGTCCGGATGCCGGGGACTCGGGTTGGACGCCGGCCAGTTTCTCGCATGTTTGTGACATTGTACAATGAAAAGTGTCTCCGCGGGTGACAACCTGTCACATTTGTATCTCTGGTTTCCTGTCGGGTCATATCGCCTGCAGAGGCCGGCGCGGGGCTTCACCTAACAAGCCGTCCAAACTCCGACATGAAATGATAACATTGGCCGTCCTTCCCCGCGGACACAAAGCGGCACACTTGGCACTCTCTCCTGGCAGTCTCTGGTCGTGTCTCTCTCTCTCTCTCGGCTGCTCTGTCTCTCCTCCCCCCTCCGCCCGCTCTCTGATCACTGATAGATCACAGCGCAGGAGAGTCAAGTGTAAGGCGGACACGGCGAGGGACGGAGCGGAGGGGACACGCCAACTTCTCGCCGGGAGAGATGCAGCCAAAGTCCTGACCTAGAAGACGGAGATCTGGGGAAGTTTCTCGGGGTGGAGGACGGAGGAGGAGGCAGGTGCAGAGACGGTGAAGAGACGGTGCAGAGACGGTGAAGGGGCGGTGCAGGGACAGTGAAGGGACGGTGAAGGGACAGTGCAGAGACGGTGTGCAGGGACAGGGAAGAGACGGTGCAGAGACGGTGAAGAGACGGTGCAGAGACGGTGAAGGGGCGGTGCAGGGACAGTGAAGGGACAGTGCAGAGACGGTGCAGAGACGGTGTACAGGGACGGGGAAGAGACGGTGCAGAGACGCGGAAGGGACGGTGCAGAGACGGTGAAGGGACGGTGAAGAGACGGTGAAGGGACGGTGCAGAGACGGTGAAGGGACGGTGCAGAGACGGTGTGCAGGGACGGGGAAGAGACGGTGCAGAGACGCGGAAGGGACGGTGCAGAGACGGTGAAGGGACGGTGCAGAGACGCTGAAGGGACGGTGCAGAGACGCTGAAGGGACGGTGAAGGGACGGTGCAGGGACGGGGTGCAGGGACGGTGCAGAGACGGTGAAGGGACGGTGAAGGGACAGTGAAGGGACGGTGAAGGGACGGTGAAGGGACGGTGCAGGGACGGGGTGCAGAGACGGTGAAGGGACAGTGAAGGGACGGTGCAGGGACGGTGCAGAGACGGTGAAGGGACGGTGCAGGGACGGTGCAGAGACGGTGAAGGGACGGTGCAGGGACGGTGCAGAGACGGTGAAGGGACGGTGCAGGGACGG